GTCCCCCAGGAAGAAGAATGGAGACTTTTTCTAACCGAGCCAGCTCAAGAGATAAAACCAGCTCTAGCTAAGTGATGGCCCCGAGTATTGGCAGAGGATAGCCCTCTGGGACTGGCAGTCAACCAAGCCCCTGTATTCATAGAAGTTAAGCCTGGGGCCCAACCAATTAGACAAAAGCAGTATCGGGTTCCCAGAGAAGCTGGGAATCCAGGTTCATCTCAGGCGCTTGAAAGCCTATGGAATTATAGTTCCTTGCCAGTCTCCATGGAACACCCCGCTCCTGCCTGTCCCTAAGTCAGGGACCAAGGTCTACCGACCAGTACAGGACTTGCGCTTGGTCAACCAAGCTACAGTGACTCTGTACCCAACAGTTCCTAACCCTTACACATTGTTAGTGCTGCTGCCGCTACCTGTCTGGACTTAAAAGATGCTTTCTTTAGCATCAGAATAGCTCCTGAGAACCAGAAGCTGTTTGCCTTTCAGTGGGAAGATCCGGAGTCAGGTGTCACTACTCAGTACACTTGGACCCAGCTTCCCCAAGGGTTCAAGAACTCCTCTACTGTCTCAGCAATCTTGGCTCACTGCAACCTCCGCCTCCCAGGTTCAAGCAATTCTCCTGCCTCGGCCTCCCGAGTAGCTGGTACTGCAGGCACACACCACCACGACCGGCTAATTTTTGTATTTTTAGTAGAGACTAAAAATACATACTAAAAATACACCACCATGTTGGTCAGGCTAGTCTCGACCCCCTGACCTCGTGATCCACCCGCCTTGGCCTCCCAAAGTGCTGGGTTTACAGGCGTGAGCCACTATGCCTGGGTTTTTGTTTTATTTTGTTTTTAGACAGCTTCTCACTCTGTCACTCAGGCTGGAGTGCAATGACGGGATTTCAGCTCACTGAAACCTCCACCTTGTGGGTTCAAGCGATTCTCCTGCCTCAGCCTCTCGGGCAGCTGGAATTACAGGTACCCACCACCATGCCCTGCTAATTTTTTTTTGTATTTTTGTAGAAATGGGGTTTTACCACGTTTGCCAGGTTGGTCTCAAACTCCAGACCTCAGGTGATCCGCTGGCCTCAGCCTCCCAAAATGCTGGGATTACAGGCGCGAGCCAAGGCGTCTGGCCTTTCCTAGGAATTTTAAAACAAAAGGTACAAAATATATTAGTTTACTAACTCTACATGTGTCATTGCACTCCATCCTGGGCAACAAGAACGAAACTCCATCTCAAAAATAAATAAATAAATAAATAATAAAATTCCTAGAAAATATTGTCTTCCGAAAATTTAGGCATTTTTGCCCACTGGGTTGATGGAAACAGAAAGGGTTCTAGGCCAGAATGTTCATATTTCGAACACTTTCAAATTATAACTATTGTTACATGTTTGCAGTTTATTCAAGATTGCTGTTACACAGTGGACAAATTAACTCCTTACTTCAAATATCTAGTCTACCTAGATGTTTGGAAGTGTCCCATGTATATTAAATGTAGAGGTAGTGAAATATCACTTTGTAAATATCTTTTTGTTAAAATTTATAGGAAACACTGCCTTTTGGAAATTGAATTGTTTAACCACCTTCGTGAGCAGTGTAGTACTGTCTATTACTTGTTGGATAGTTTAGAGGAGGTGGAGGGGAAGAATCGCAAAGATCAGTTGTTCATACTTGGACATTTCAGACACTATTTTTTTTTCTATACTGTTTTGTGCGACTTTTGTTTTGCTCTCATATAGTATAGCATATCATAATGGGGCAAATGCACCTATTTTGGCAACATCTATTGCTAGATGTTAAAGCACCAGGTTGCCAGTGTATGAATAAAGTACTTAGATAAATTTAGCATATTTTGTACACTTTGTGTTGAAATTCATAGGAAACTTGTCTTCTGTGAATGACTTTTGGATAGGAATTTGTTCAACCATCTCTAAGCATTACACATGCCTGTACTGCGTCCACTGGATTGAAAGCAGAGAGAAGTAAGGAAGGGAATTGTTCAAGGCCAAAGGGTCATTTTTTTAAAAAATTTTTTGAGACGGAATCTCGCTCTGTCACCCAGGCTGGAGTGCAGTGGCGCATTCTCGGCTCACGCAAGCTCCACCTCCCAGGTTCAGATTCCTCTGCCTCAGCTCCCAAGTAGCTGGGACTACAGGTGCCACCACCACGCCCAGCTAATTTTTGTATTTTTAGTAGAGATGAGGGTTTCAACGTGTTAGCCAGGATGGTCTCCATCTCCTGACCTCGTGATCCACCTGCCTCGGCCTCCCAAAGTGCTGGGATTACAGGTGTGAGCCACTGCGCCTGGCCCAAAATGGTCATATTTAGGAGATACCTTAGATGATAACCATGGTTACATGTGTGGAACTTTACTGAACAGTGCTGTGTATATTGGTGGACAAGTTATATGAAATATCTAGTCTTTCTAGATATTTGGAAGTGCTTCATGTATTTAAAAGTAGTAGTAGAATAACACTGTTTGGTTTTTTTTGTTTTGTTTTTGTTTTTTGCTTGTTTTTGTTTTTGTTTGAGACAGAGTCTCACTCTGTCGCCCAGGCTGGAGTGCAGTGGCATTAGCAATTCTCTAATGCCTCAGCCTCCTGAGTAGCTGGGATTACAGGCGCTCACCACGAAGTCCAGCTAATTTTTCTGTTTTTAGTAGAGAGGGGTTGGGGTTTGCCATGCTGGCCAGGCTGTTCTGGAACTCCTGACCTCAAATGATTTACCAGCCTCAGCCTCCCACAGTGTTGGGATTACAGGCGTGAAGGCCACCTGTGCCCAGCCGAACCGTTATTGAAAGTTATTTACAAAAAGTATTATTCGCCAGGCGCAGTGGCTCATGACTGTAATCCAAGCCTAGGTGGGTGGATTGCCTGAGGTCATGGAGTTCAACATGGTAAAAACCCTGTCTCTACTAAAAATACAAAATTAGCTGGGCATGGTGATGCGCCCCTGTAATCCCAGCTATCAGGAGGCTGAGGCAGGAGAATCACTTGAACCCAGGAAGCAGAGGTTGCAGTGAACCGATATCGTGCCACTGCACTCCAGCCTGGGCGACAGAGTGAGACTTCTGTCTCAAACAAAAAAAAAACAAGCCAAAAACAAAAACAAAACAAAAAAACCAAACAGTGTTATTCTACTACTACTTTTAAATACATGAAGCACTTCCAAATATCTAGAAAGGACTAGATATTTTCATATAACTTGTCCACCAATATACACCAGCACTGTTCAGTAAAGTTCCACACATGTACCCATGGTTATCATCTAAGGTATCTCCTAAATATGACCATTTTGGGCCAGGCGCAGTGGCTCACACCTGTAATCCCAGCACTGTGGGAGGCCGAGGCAGGTGGATCACGAGGTCAGGAGATGGAGACCATCCTGGCTAACACGTGAAACCCCATCTCTACTAAAAATACAAAAAATTAGCTGGGCGTGGTGGTGGGCACCTGTAGTCCAGCTACTTGGGAGGCTGAGGCAGGAGAATGGCGTGAACCTGGGAGGTGGAGCTTGCGTGAGCCGAGATGGGCGCCACTGCACTCCAGCCTGGGTGACAGAGCGAGATTCCGTCTCAAAAAAATTTTTAAAAAAATGACCACTTTGGCCTTGAACAATTCCCTCCTTACTTCTTTCTCTCTGCTTTCAATCCAGTGGACCAGTACAGGCATGTGTAATGCTTAGAGATGGTTGAACAAATTCCTATCCAAAAGTCATTCACAGAAGACAAGTTTCCTATTGAATTTCAACACAAAGTGTACAAAATATGCTAAATTTACTAAG